TACCCCAAATGTCAGCTCTTCTCTAAACTCAGCCTAAACCCTATGTCTCTAGTTAATGCCCCATACCTAATAGGCTTTGAAATTTTTGGTGATTTCTAGGTTGTGGCAGGAATTTATATACTGCTACCCCAGTCACTGAAAATGGGAACTATGGAGTGAAAGGAGTAGGGAGTTGAACATTGTTGACTACAATGATCTGTGATCCCTCCAGCACTGAGATTCTGAGTTAATTAACTTCATCTCTCTGAGCCTCATTTTCTTCATTTGTAAAATGTCCTACCAACCTCACAGAGCTATGAGGTACTAGTTAGATGGCCATCCAGGTAGAAACCTGTCATGGCGAGATTGCCCCTGTGTTCTAATTGAGTGTTAGACTTGAAAGTAGCTGATTGATGTACTATATGGAATCTCTGTGTATATAAATGGCTTAGATGATAAGAGGTAGAACCATTTCACCTCCAGAACCAGCATCCTCAATGGTATCATGTGCTCTGGGCCTTTGGAGGAAAATGGATAAAAGAGGAACTTGTGGTCTGAGTCCTTGGCGTGGGGAAGGGTGTCTTACTTTATTCCTAGGAGTTCCTAGCCAACCAGGAAATTGATTTTCAAGATCATTTCACTTAAACATCAGTTGGCTGCATAAATTCTACCCAAGCCCACAAAATATTCTTCGGCCCCCTGCCTAAATCTCTTTTACTGCCCCCCCACCAGTGCTTTCTATTTTCCATCCCCAATCATCTTTTGCTCCCCCTCACCCAGCTTTCTAAGCACCCCTCCCTCTCCAGCCTGCCAGCAACCAGCTCACTCAAGGCCCCATCCTTTGGACAGATTCCTGGAACTCACAACCCAGATGGGAGAGGAATGAAGAAAGATTCATTTACCCCAGGACTCTTGCCTGATTTGTTGTTGGGCCTCTGCCTGATTTTCAGTCATCTGCCCCCAATTTCATTCCGGAACCTGGCTAGGGCCAGGCCTCATTTTCCTGGCAGCCCAACTCCTCCCCCCCTCTTCCTTCCATCCAGGCATTCAGCCACAGGCCAACTGTGGGTCAAGTACAACGGCTCATTCGAGGGGCCAAGCAGGTGGCCCTGGCCTACATTTGGCCCTAGGGAGCTTCTTGTTTTCTCCTAAACTTCCAAGAATCTCCATTCCCAGATGAAGCATGCTGTCAGATCTTGGCAGATGACAAAACCTGTCCTCCTTTCCCTCTTCTGCCTGAGACTAAACCTCTCTTTCCTCTGATGTACAATATAGAAGATCCTGCTAGGATCTGGACCAGGAAGGCTTGAGGGTCAACTAGAGGGCAGTTCTATGTGCAAAGAGGAAAATATTCAGCTTCTGAGTCTCCAAAACTAGCATGTTAATATTCTTGAGGTAGTCCACCTCTCTATCCCTGATCCTTTGGTCTTTGGATCTGCATATTCTGGGGAGAAAAGCCTATGCCAGAATGTGAAGGCACTTCTTAGCAGCCTGGATGTGGCAAAGAAATATTCAAAATAGCAGCCAACCTAGCATTAAAGACTCGAAGGACAGATTTCTAAGCTGGTTCAGGGAAGAAAGGTCTAGGTCCCCTCTTCCAAGTCCCTTTTATGGAGTGGCATATATCTGTAATCCCAGCAATTTGGGAGGCTGAGGCAGGAGGATCACAAGTTCAATGCCAGCCTCAGCAGCGTAGTGAGCTCCATCTCAAAATTAAAAAAAATAAAAAGGGCTGAGATATATCTCAGTGGTAAAATGCCCCTGGGTTCAATCCCAGTATGAAAAAAAGAAAACAGGAAAAAAAGGAAGCCTAACTCTCTGACTCCGAAGCTCAGTGCTATCCTACTCCCAACCCTTCTTGGTAAATACATAGTGATCATGAGTGGATCCTGTTTCTTTCCTGCAGAAACTAGAACCATGTGCATATCCAGTGGGTTATCCCAGAAGGTAACTCCCATGTCCTCTCATCCTTCAGGGGAAAAGGGAGAGCAGGGTGTGGCTGGGAATTCCACTTTCGAGGAATAGGACGACTATTAGGTGAAACTAAGCCTCTTAGCCACTGTGTGGCACCATTTACTCACTTTTCTATGTACAGTTAATGGCTGTGTGCAAAGCAAACTCAATTTAAAAACATGCAAACTTTTCAGGGATCTGGTTCTGACTTGGTTAACAATTGGATGAGGGTGTTTGGGCAAATCCTGTACCTTCTATGAGCCTTGGTTTCTCATTTTGTGAAATAGGAGGCAGATGAGGGTCACTCAAGTCCCTTCCAGCTTCATAATTCTGCAAGTATGTGAGTATACTCCCAGTGGTCATCTGAATGATGCAATTTTGTGCCTTGGGGCCACACAGGGTGAGTACAGAAAAAAGCACAAAGGCCAGGGTATGTGTAGAGCTAAGATGAAGAGGGGCATCAGGGAAGCAGGAGGGCTTGGCAACACATGAACCTGGATTTCTCCTGAGCCTCCCGTGGTGCCAAGAAAAAGATGAGGGTGCCATTCATTTGCTGAGTAAACACTAACTGACCACGAACTTGGTGCCAGGCACTGTGTGATGGAAGTGAAGTTGGGGTATAGGTGGGAGTGGAGTGGATGTTGGGTGGGACAGTAAGGCGAATAAACCCCCAAAGTGTTTACCAACCAGTGGGGAAGTAGATAAGTAAACAAACAACCAGCACACAAGAGAGAATGGAGCCTCTACTAAAGAGAAACACAAACTGCTGGATGTGGGGAGGTAGGAAGGATAAATTCTGACCAGATAAGGAAGATTTCACAGAGAAGGAACCATTTTAACTTGAGTTTTAAAAGATGAACAGATGTCTATGAGGAAGGGGTTAGACAGAGGAAGATAAGGAGGGAGAGGGAAAGGCAGATATTCTGGAAGATGGGAGATAGGTATATTTATGTTGTTTTGGGAAAATAGGGACTAGTCTGAGGTGCGTGGATGGAATGGAAGAAGAGTTTGCAAAAATGGTTTGGGGCCAGATTCTGAGTTTATGGAGCCCTTTTCACATGTCTAGCTATTTTCAGAGTGTAAAGGACAGGCTTCCAAGATGTGCACAGTTTCAGTCCTTAGGGAAGGCAAGACCTATTCTCTCATGCATACATAAAGGTACAAAAAAATTAAACTGAATGGGGCAGGCAAGCCTGATTGGAAACATGGCACACATCAAAAGAAGTAAGAGCCTGGAAGGGCACCATGAGGGAAAGTACTCTTCCTGTAGCACGTATTCCACTCTCCTACTCTCTTCTGAAACTCAGATGGTAGAAACTTAGAAGACCTGACCTATAAGGAACAGGAAGAGGCCCTGTTTTAAGGAAGGGAGAGCCATCCTAGGAGACCTGGAAAACTTCCCATTCAGTGACTACATTTGCAGGACTCCATCTCTAGTTTGTTTTCCAGTTAGACCTTATCAACCAGGGACAAATAGCGGAAGGCCTGAGGCATCACAGGAGCTAGTATCTATGCTATTAGGATAATAAACTAGGTGGGATTTAGGTTAGACTTAAGGAAGGAAGAAGTCTGTGTTCTGAGAAGTTCAGGAGTTCTGTAACCATGAGAGATTAGAATGTGTTTCTTCAATAGCTGATGAGTGACCACTTAATGCCAAGCACATTGCTGGAGGAAGGAGTGTAGTGAGGGAGGTTGTACCTTGTTCCACCCTTTGGGAACTCACAGTTAAGATGGGTATACTATACAGAATAATTCTCCCACAAAGATGGTCACATCCTTAATCTCCATGAGTTATGGGTATACTATATTCCATGGAAAAGTGAAATAAACGTTTCAGATGGAATTAAGGCTGCTAATCAGATGACCATAAATACAAAATGATCCTTAATTATCCAGGTAGGTTCAGTATCATCACGAGTCCTAAAAATTGGGAGAAGGCAGCAGGAATGGCAATCAGAGGTGTAACAAGGATTTACCCTTATGTTGCTGACTTTTAAAATACAGAAATGGGGGGCTGGGGTTGTGGCTCAGAGGTAGAGTGCTTGCCTGGCATGCATGAGGCACTGGGTTCGATCCTCAGCACCACATAAAAAGAAAATAAAGATATTGGGTCCACCTACAAGTAAAAAATAATTTAAAAAATACGGGAAGGGGCCACAAGCCAAATGATGCAAGTGGCCTGTAGAAGCTGGAAAAAGCCAAGAAAGAGCTTTTTATCCTAGACCCTCTATAGAGCCTCCAGAAAAGAATAGAGCCTTGCCAACAACTTGTTTTTAGCCCAGTGAGACCTGTGTTAGATGTCTAAGGACCCCGAAAAATAAATAAATGAGTAAATTCATGTTATTTTCAGCAACTAATGGTGTGGCTTATTTTTTGTTTGTTGGTTGGTTGGTTTTTTGAGGGATTGAATACAGGACCTCTCATGTGCCAGACAAGTGCTCTACCACTGAGCTATATATCCCCAGCCTTTTTTATTGAGACAGGGTGTCACTATATTGCCAGGACTGGCCTCAAACTTGTGATCCTTCTGCATCATGAGTAGCTGGGATTATAAGCATGTGTCACCACACCCAGCTGTTTGTGACAATTTGTAACAGCAACAGTTAGAAAACTAATATAATGTACACATACATGGGCTGGGGATGTGGCTCAAGCGGTAGCGCGCTCGCCTGGCATGCGTGCGGCCCGGGTTCGATCCTCAGCACCACATACAGACAAAGATGCTGTGTCCACCAAATACTGAAAAATAAATATTAAAGTTCTCTCTCTCTCTCCCTCTTTCTCACTCTCTCTCACTCTTTAAAAAAAAATGTACACATACATAATACTATTCTAGTATGAAAAGTGTTCTAAGAGAAAAAGAAAGCATGTTGTGAGAATGCAGAGGGCCAGGAGCAGTGGCAAATTCAGGTAGTCCTAGCAACTTTGAAGGCTGAGGCCGGAGAATCACTAGTTCAAGGCTAGCCTCAGCAATGTAGCAAGACCTTATCTCAAAATTAAAAAATAAATAAATAAAAGGAACTGGGGATGTAGCTCAGTGGTAATGCACCCCTGGGTTCAATTCCTAGGAGAGAGAGAGAGAGAGAGAGAGAGAGAGAGAGAGAGAGAGAGAGAGAGAGAGAGAATATGCAGAAGACAGGAACCTGTCTTAGAGAGAATGAATCAAGGAAAGTTACCCAAAATAGTTGACAATAAGATGGATATGGAAGAAAAAGCAGTTTTTAGCAGCTGCAGGAGATGAGACACTGTCTTGAAGACAGAGACACTGTGTACAAAAGTACCAGGCATGAAAGAGGCTGGCAGATTTAGAGAATCAAGAAACAAAAATGGACTGGAAAAGAGGATGGGCAGGATATATGGAGAGAAGGGGGCTTATAGGGGTGACAGAGAAAACTGCTGCCTCTACCTTCTCCACTCTGAAAGTGCAAATTGCCCAGGTTATTGTCTGCCTTTCTTAACTGACTTAAGAACTTAACTCTGTAGAGCCAAAGCTTGTCACAGCAAAACTCAGAGGCCCCTGGTACCACTACCCCTTTCCCCATTCTAGCCATAATGTCCACTAAGGGGACCATACTCTTCCACCAGCTCCACAGCAAGGCAGTGACCAAGAAGGAAGAGACAAGAGCCTAATTGCATGTCTTAAAACTCTCAGTCCATCTGGGGCCTGACTCTGAGGGAATGGGCTGAAAAGGAAGAAGAGAGGAGGGTGTTGTTTTGTGGTAGAAATCTTCATTCCTCATAGAAATTTCTGGAGAGGCATGGGGGCTGGGCCAGGGGGTGGAGGTAGAAGCTATCTTGGAATTTAGAATCATCTGGGTGCTCCATTGGCAAACTCTCTGTAGCAAAATATGAAACTGACTCAATCCTGGGGAGGGGTCCAGGAGGCAGGGGTGAGGCAGGATAGTAAGAGGAGGGGATGTGGTTTGTCTCCCCTCAAAGGGGTTTGGGACAAAGAGGCTTCTCTCTTGTTCCTCTAACCTTCCTCTTCTTCCATCCCTACCCCCATCCTTGGCACCAGGGCCTCTGGAGCAAAGGGAAGAAAAATGAGTGGGCAGAAACAGCTGGATGCAGCCAGGAGCACATCTGGCCTCCCTGGGCCTCATTCCCCCTTCCCCCAACACTCTTTCCTCCTTTTCAGGTTTCTGATGGGGGTCTATAGTGGAGCTGGGGGGGAGGGTGGGAAATTACAGCGAGGCTGGGTGGAGGTGGGGTTGGGGTGGGGGAGAATGTTGTTCTAAATATTAGCTGGGCTTGTGAGGTGGCCTCTTGGCTGGAGCCTGACCACCTAACTTCCTGTTTTTCCTACAGCTGCCTCCTCCCCTCCCTCTTCTCTGGGCTGGAACTGAGCCGGGGAGGAAGGAGGAGCAGCAGAGTTGGCCAGGGTCGCTTTTCTGATTCCCTGCAGGCTGGGGGCCAGGACGGCCTCCCTAAGCAAGCAGGCGGAGGCACATATAGCCCTAGGTCCCGTCGTTGAATCTCAGCACTTGCTCCTCTGGCCACAGCAGGAACAAGAGGCTCCTGGAAAGCCCCAACTTCTCACCAGCTCTTCCATGAGCACACCCTGGTCCCAGGGCCTGAGATTTCTCCATGCAGGAGCAGCCAGAAACTCCAGAGGCGGCGGCAACGCCGGACACACCACCCGCCCAACTGCCTCCAGCCCCACCGCCCAGCCAGCTGCTGGTCCCTTCTCTGCCAGTGTTCGTGGACCACGCAAAACAACCAAGTGAGTGAGCAGGGACTGGCTGGGTGGGGGAGTGGGGTTTCTTGGCTGGGGGTGTCTTCCTGTGCTCCTTTTTTTGCCCTCAGGGACAAACATGGGAGACAGGCAGGCTGTCTGTCAGGGTTCGGGGACACTGAAATGTTGGTCTGAGTAGGTGTTTTGACAACGCCTGGTTTGCCCTTCTGTGCTCCTCTTGCCCTCTCTCTCTCTCCTCCACCCCTCCACTCTGTTTTTATCCCTCTCTCTTCCCAGGCAAGGAACTCATTAAGCCCAAAGCAATTTTAGGGCGCCCAGTAGAGAGACCTGCAGAGGCTGCTGCTGCTGCTGCTGCGGAGGCTGCTGGTGCTGCTGCTGAAGAGTGCCCGGCATTGGGCACCAGGGGAGTTGGAGTCAAAAACCATCGCTGTCAGGTCTGCCGGCCCCCCAGCCAGTTCCTCAAGTCAGGCACTTCCTACTCCCTGTGGAGACCTAGGGATCTCTAAGGCCCTCCAGCTTCCCCTGCCACCTCCATCTTCATTCCTCATTCCTGGTACTTAGCCTCCCTTTGTGGCTTCTTTTTATTCACTTCTCCAACCAACCCCATCTCACCCTACCCACTCCCTAATTTTCAAGGTGACATTAGAGGATTAAGAGAGGCCCCTATCCCTATCTTGATCGGTTAGTCTGCAATTGCCTGTCTGTGACTTACCCTGCTGTATACAGTGGCACAATTGTTCTCTCAGAGCCACCAGGAGTCTCCCAAGACCCCTGACTGACATCTGTTTCCAGGCTAGGCTGGTTTTTCTCCTGGAACTGCTAGGCCCAGGAGAGACTCTGGCTAGTCACTGTGACTACACCTGAGAGTTTGCTGTCCTCCTGTTTCCTGAAGACCCAGGAGGATCTTGGGCAACCTCTCGTGGGTCCCTGGGCTGCCACATCACTTTTGTGGCCCTCAGCCCCCTCCCTGCCCTGGCCAAGCCAAGGAAGGGAGAGGAAGGCAGGAGGACCCTGTCCTAACCCCTGTCATCCCTCCTCTTGCCAGCGGATCCGAGCCAGCCGAGAAGCAGGCTCACGGTTTGCCATGGAGGGCTTGGATGATAAACTGATCCTGAACGTGGGGGGCATGCGCCACGAGACCTACATCAGCACCGTGCGGGCCTTCCCAGGCACCCGCCTCTACAAGCTGACCGAGCCACCCCCGCCTGGCAGTCCAGCTGCTCAGGGTCCACCGGTCCGAGAGTTTTTCTTTGACCGTAATCCTGAGCTCTTTAGCTATGTGCTGGGCTACTACCGTACTAGGCAGCTGCACTGCCCCAATGACGTTTGTCGGGATGTCCTAGAGGAGGAGCTGGCTTATTGGGGCCTGGCGGAAGCGCCTTTGGCACCTTGCTGCTGGCTCAAGCTAAGTGGCAGGGAGACCCGGACCCAGGACTTCCTCTCCTGGGAGGCCTGTGAGAACGCCCACCTAGATGAACGTCTTCTGCTGAACCCCATGGAAGGCCAGGGACTGCGGAATGCTTGGAAGCCATGGCTCTGGGTGCTTCTTGATCAACCCCAGTCTTCCCTAGGAGCGAAGGTAACTTATTAATAATGTGTAGCACCTTGTTATACACTTTTATCTATGAAGGGCCTGGCCCTGCCAAGTTGCCACAATAACTATGCACTTGGCATGGTGCTTGGTGCCCAAATCTATAACCCCCGCCCCAGGAAAACTTGAGGGGGTTTCCTTAAAATGGAGGGGGAAAAGGGTAGAAGTGTCAGTAGGGAGGTGGGGATGACTGGTAAATGAAGTTTCTGACATTCATCTTTTTTTCCCAGTGCCTTTCCCTGATCTCCACACTCTTTGCTGTGTGTGCCCTGGTCATCTTCTTCCAGGAGACAGAAGTTCAGCTGGATTACTTCTCTGCCAACTTCACTCCTATGGGACATGGGGCGGGGGTGGGGGGAAACCAGCAGCAGCAGCAGCAGCAGCAAAACAATGGTCTTGTTTATCGCCGTGCCCCCCACCTGCTCTACCTGGAATTACTCTGTGCCCTTTGGTTTGGAACTGAGCTTTTTGCACGAGCCATTTCCTGCCCTGATAAGGTGCGCTTCCTGTGTAGCCCCCTCAACCTGGCTGACATCTTCTGTTTGTTCCCTGTGCTGGTGGAATTAGTGGTGGGTGACAAGGCTGAACGGCAGCCTCGCCTTAGCCTCACCCTTGGGGCCATTCGTTCTCTCTATGTCCTCAAGCTGGTTCGTCTCCTGGGCTTTCTTGAAAAGTCCCTGGCCCTGAGAGTCCTGGTTCATACTCTCCATTCCTCCTGGAAAGAGGTGTGTGCCTTTCTCCTGATTTGGGTGGCTGAAATCTTATTCTTTGGCTCACTCTTCCTCTATGGGGAGCTTTTGGGCATATCAACCCCAGGACAGAGTGAGCTCCACTTTGGAGACATCTTTACCTGTCTCTGGTGGACTGTCATAACTCTCACCACTGTCGGCTATGGAGACATCTACCCACTCTCTGCTATGGGCCAGCTCACTGCTGCTGTCACAGCCACCGTGGGCATGTGCACTGGTGTCTTGCTGGTGCCTGTGCTCCTGGTCCGCTTCCAGCGCTATTATGCTGTAGCCCTGGCTCGCCAGAAACTAAGGCCCAGTGGGATCCTATAATAGGCCCATTGGTCAAGAGGGGTGGAGCCCACCTTCCTGTACTTCCTCTTGCCAGTTTTTGGTTACAGATTAGGATTTCTGGCTTTGGATTTGGCAAAGAATCCTTCAGGAGCAGCCCCAAGTCATGGCAATTCCTGCTAGTCAGGAGCAGATAAATATCACCTATAGGTCAGACTCCTCATCCTCATCAAGGGAAGAAGGAGCTTAGGGACAAGGCTAGTTACTTCTTACATTCCCCTGCCCCACCCTAGGTCCTTCTCTGAATACCAGAATGACCAGGAAGAATAGAGTATAGTTCTTCCTGGATTGGTGCTATATCCCTCTCTCAACTAGATCTCCCTTCACATTCACTTATCCCTTGCTGCCCAACTGGACCCTAGTCTAGATGGGAGACTTTTGCATGATGGTAGCCATAGTATATCAAGATTGGTTGCCCGTGTCAATGGTGATTGGCTGTGGGTATCAATGATAATTGTCTGTGAATATCTGACAGCAACTGGTTATGGGTATTGATGACAATTTGTACTTTCAGTGCCCAGGAATAGCCAGATTGTAGCATTGCTCTCTCCGTACTGCTCCTGGGACAAATGTTCCTTAGAGGCAGAAGGAGGCCTTTGAAGAGTCTCAGAGACTCCAATCAGATGCGGGTCAGCCACGTCTGGACCCGAAGCACTCTTAAGTCCATAACCTCCTCATCCCATTATATCCTTGCCCAATTCTGCCTCATCCCCTCTTCTCCCCATCTTTGATTTTTTTCAAAATATTTTAGATTTAGTATTAGCCATCATTAATCAAAATATATTAGTCAATATTAACCACAGTATCTCAGTCATGATAACAGTATGTAGTCACTAATAGACATAAAATGTTATCATTGCATATTGTTTGGACAGGAATGAGGAAACTGGGATTGTGGACAAGAGTACACAAACAATTTCCTCTTCCATATTTTTTCTTTTTTTTTTAATTTTACTCCTTTACAATTCTTTTTTTTTCCTTCCAAATACTTTTCAGTACCCACAACGGGTCTACCTCCAATCCTCGCTGCTATTGAATATTCCCACCTTCCAACCTCTTCCTCTTCTTTTTTTTTTTTTTTTTTTTTTTTTTTTTTTTTTTTTTTTTTTTACTACCTGTGTGCTCTTCCCTCCTGGCTTTCCCATGGTGTTCCCCACCATGCACCTCTCTTGGAACTGGCTTCCAGGAGGGACAGAAGGGACCTACTCAGGTCTAACTTCAAATCAAGCCACTGGGTTGTCTGAACAAGTAACCCAGGCAACTAGGCAGAGCTGGGAGGTTGAATTGAGCCCTCACTGTTGCTGAAGCTGTGAGCATAATTCTGTTTACAAAACTTTTAAATAAAATATCCTTTGATATCTCTATTCCATGGTTGTCTGTGCTTTTTCTGGGGGAGGCATGCGGGTATCAGCAGGGGTAGAGTGGTACAATAAATGACAAGAACATTTAGGCAAATTATTTGATAGGGTAAAAAGCAGTTTGCTGGGCTGGACTGGGCACTTACCTAGCATGTGTGAGGCACTGGGTTCAATCTTCAGCATTACATAAAACAAATAAATATAATAAAGGTCTATCAACAACTAAAAAATATTTTTAAAAAAATCAGTTTGCTGCCTTCCATGTGTCTGGTCCTTACAATAAACTATTATTAGTCACAGATACCTTGACTGGGAGAGGAAAAACTTTCTGTTTGTATTAGGAACAGGTTGGGGAAGGGAAGAAAACAGGTCCAGGAGTTGAGGAATAGAAGCTTGGATATCTTCTTTAGGGCATGCTTCTAGAAACCCTGGGTACTTATATAAGGTGGGAGGTTGTCAGGGGAGGGGTTTCCATATTAGGAGCACTGAAAGAGAACCAGAATCATGGAAAACCATCAAAGACAATATTTATATTCTTACTGCCTGGAAGTAGAAGATGCTGGAGCAATTTACAGCTTTCAGCGACTGTTCTAGTCCACTACCCTTAAGGTACAGATAGGGAAAAATAAAGTCTAGATATTGAGGTGATTTTTCCCCAAGGGAAAAAGTGACAGAGCTGGGAGTTCTGTGACCTCAGAGAAATTATGCATCAATCTTTATTAACTCACTAGCATTATAGGTTAATGATTAGAATTTGCAATAAAATTAAGCAAGACTGCACCCTGTTTCAGGTAGTGGAAATGGTGGTGGTGGATGAAGGGAAGGAATTAAGGCTAGGATGTTACACAGAATCTTGGCAGCTTGAGTGAGAAAAGTGGGATATTAAAGTAGGGAGAGAAGCGCATTAAATGCCATGGCACACTATAAAAAGAATCATGTAGAATGTCAGGTAGATTCCAGGGAAAAACCTGGAATCTCATCAAGACCAATCCCCTCCTAATTGGGGTGGGGGGGCTGAGGCTCACAGAGAAGCTGGCTTTATATATTGACATGGTTTATATACCGAGTCAGGAGCAGAAATAGAGTTGCAATCACCCTGCCACACAGGAAGTAAGACTATTTCCTGTTATTTTCCCCCTTGCATCTTGCCTGGACAGTCAAGACATTAACTAAAAGGGAAGGGAGAGGACAGCACAAAGATTCATGGCCTGCCTGGTACTTCTATTATGAAACACTATAGAATGACAGCGATGAAAAGCTTAGTTTGTGCTTGTTTCTATGACAGAACTCTATATCTGAATCCATCCTGAGCCTCCAGCACATAATGCCCTCAAATCCCCTAGAACTTTAAGGCCTTTTCTGAATACTGAGAATGTCCCAGTATTTTTTCTCTTCTCATGATTAAGTTCTCACTCCAATACTAAAGTCACCTCTTCTCCTCAGTTATGAATTGCCCTTCTTCTGAGGAGGGCAGGGACAAGATGGGTGTTATAGTTTAGATAAGTGTCTCCCAAAGGCCCAGGTGTTAAAGGCTTGGTCATCAGCCTGTGGTGGAGGAGGTAGTGGAACTTTTAAGAGGTAGGACTTAGTGGAGGAAAGTTAGGTCCTTGGAAGCATGTTTTGAAGGGAATTTGGGAACCTCAACCTCTCTTCTCTCCTCTCCCACTTCCTGGCCACCATGAAGTGAGCAACTTATTTGGCCACATGTTCCCACCATGATGTACAGAGCTACCATAGGACCAAAAGAAATGAGCCAAATGACCATAGACTAAAACCGCCAATACTGTGAGCCCAAATTAACTTTCGTCCTTTTTAAATTGATTGTCTCAGATATTTTGTTACATCAACTGAACGCTGGGTAAAACAATGGGAATGCTGAAACATACCTTTAATTTGAGTAGATCCTGCCATATGTAAAGAAGAGTTCTTTCCTCACATGTGAAAACTCCTCAGCCATGAGCTAACTTGTTCCCTGAACCATTCTCACAATTCAGTCACACTCCACCCCAAATATTTGTCTTCATCCCCCTTAACCTGCCCACTTTGCCCATGGCAGAGACCCCACTGGTCCTACTGTCCACACAGCCCTGGAAATCCTCCTGTTTCTTGTGTCTGGTGAGAAGGGTCAGATGCCAAGCACATACTTCTCATCTGGATCTCTCTCATTAGGAGAGACTGAAAAGTTTGTGGGCTAACCCCGTCCTATGTCTAGCCCTATCTAGTGAAGCACACAGTTGTCTTCTCTGTCTTCCTCCTGCCTCAGCTCTTTAACAGTTGCCTCAGCGTGTTGTCTGCTTCAGCCTGCACTTTCAGCTTAGATCGATAGAGGGCAACCATAGCCAGTTTATGAGAAATTATTTTGGGTGTGGCCTCTCCCTCCCTTCACTTCCTTTTGAGTGCTTGTAACATTCTAGAACCACAAGCTCTCTGCATCAAAGTGTGTGTTTAAATAACTTATTTCAGCTCCCCTCGTAATAAAAAGAGAAACTGAGGCCCTGAGAAGGGGTGAAACAGTCTAAATTCAGACAATGATTCACTCTGTGGCAGTTAGGGCGAAAACCCAGATTTCCTGAATCCCAGTTCAAAACTCTTGGCACACACTGCTAAGCATCAAATCCAAATGCCTCTTTTTTATAGTTGTGGAAACTGAGGCCCAGAAAATAAATAGTCTAAGATTATAAAATTATGACAGAGATAAAATTTGAACCCAGGTCTTCTGAATCCTAGTCCAGGACTGTTGAAACATAACATTAGGCATCTAGTTCATGCTGTCTTTTACAGATAATAAGGGTCAGAGAGGGATTTTCATTTGCTTGAAGTCACAGTAAATTAGTGACAGAAGTATAGACCAAGGCTGGCTGTTAGAACTGGGAATCAATAGAAATTGGGACTCTGATTTCTGGTCTTCCAGATACCCCAATGACTTAGAGACCTCCCCAACTCCAAATCGCAGAATTAAATAGCAGAGGTGGGGGTGAGGTCCTTACTTAAGCCCTTTTGTTGTCAAGAAGCTGGAATATGGGGCACAGTTTGTATATGTGACTGTGTAGTGAGGTGTCTGCCTACCCCTCTTCTGCACCCCCTCCACAGGAAAAAGAAAAAAAAAACTCTCAACAAAAGGCTCACCTCATTTCTCCCCTTTCAAGGCCTCCCGGCTTTGAGAGTGAGAGGATGACTCATTCGGCGCCCACAGTCGCGCTGCAGAGAACATAATTGCTAGCTGGGACATCACCATAGCACCCAGCCATCACATTTGCAGAGCGCTGTCTTGTTTTTGTCAAAGCTCTTTCCTATCTTTTTTTTTTTCACTGCTACTTCCCCAAGCCCCAGGGAGCCAGATGAGGCATACACCATTACCCCTTCTTTTATAAAAAAGAAAATGATTTATGGCCAGGGTGGGGGTGAGGGGGCGTTTGAGCAAGTTTAGAAGAGACTGATTAAATCCCTTGATCCTTTGATTTCCAACTTTCTGGAGTGTTCTGCATAAATACCCAGAGCCCCAGAAGAGGCATCAATGTCCCCCAAGTATCTCCTGGCATTGCTCTCTCTCATCTATTAATCACTTGGCTGGGGCCAGACACTGGGTTGAGATTTAATTGGAGACAAAGGAGACTCAGATTCTGTCCTTAAGTATCACAATCTACATATTGATTAGGTCACCACCACACCCAGTGGCCATCCTCAGTTTTCTCTTCTTCTCTTGGCAAAGTGATCTCGACAATTCCTTTCAGCTGGTGGCATTGAACCAATTTTATATATATATATATATTTTTTTTCAGAGCACTTGATTAAGAGTCAGGAGATCAGCATTCTCAATTCAGTTCTTCAATTACTTGACTGTATAGCAATAGATTAGTCCTTTCTTTGTGGACCTAGTTTTGCATCTGCAAAATGATGAGGTGTGCAGAGAAGTAGGAATATAGTTGCTAAGAATCATTGGATTAGATCATTTAGGAGATGAATACCATTTGTGATATGTGGGCAGTGCCCTTTTCTTGGGTGAAAAACTGGAGGGTAGGAGCTAACAGGCTCTGCTATGGGACACTTCTTCCTGCTACCTTCTTCCTTAGCTCTGTGAACCATTCCACAGAGGCAGAGGACTTGAACTTCTTGAAGACCTCAGAAGGACCCCACTTCTACTTCTGCTTACCAGCAATATTCAGGAAGCACCAGAATTATTTTGGATGGGAAGCCATTCAATCAAAGCCATTCAGTCATATTCTAGGTTTGAGGATGGATCAGAGAGATGGAAAAAGAGAAAAGCATAGGGGCTGGGGTTGTAGCTCAGCAATAGAGCACTCATCTAGCACGTACAAGGCCCTGGGTTTGATCCTCAGCACCACATGAAAAAATAAATAAATAAAATAAATATGTTATGTCCAGTTATAACTAAAAAATAAATATTAAGATTTTTTTTTAAAAAAAGAGAAAAGCATAAATAGGCAGAGAGACAGAGGGGGGAGAGACAAGAGGTCAAGAAGGAAAGACTGTGGGAGGCAAAAAGCTAAAGGACAAAGACAGAAAATAGGAAGAGAAAGAGACAAAACAGGAAGACAGGGACAGAGAGAGGGAGAGATAGAAGAAAGAAGGAAACAGAAATGGGAGAAGGGAAGACAGAGAGTAGGGAGAAGGGAAAAAAGTTGAGAGGGAGGAAGGGAGAGGGAGAGGGAGAGGGAAAAGGAGACAGAGAGAGAGCGAGAGAGCGAGAGAGAGAGAGAGAAACATACCAAGTCCCCAGAGGCCTTCTGACAGGAGCTGCATAAAATCCTATATCTTGAAATAATGGAAACCAGAACTGAAAGGATTTAAAAATCAAGGCCAGAGAAGGTTTGACACTTATTCATAGTCACACAGCAACCTCATGGCAGTATGGAAACTCAAACCTATGACTAGAATAAGGTAGCTTAATACAGATTGGCCTGAGATTCCAGAGGCCTGCAGTTTGTTAGTGTTTTTTTGTAGGACTTCAGGCAATGCACAATGTCTGCCCCAGAGGAAGCACTAGC